AGAGTTTTACAATTGAATCGTTAAATTTGCAAGAATATTACTATCAATCAGTAACCAACACTAACCAACATAAGAGTATTGAAAATATAAATATACATACATACTTCTGTTTCCATACCAATTATTTAAAATGGTACGAAGTACCTGAAATAGCTACTGTGCCCAAGAAAAATATATTTTTCCTTAAACTTGAGCTCATATCGCTACTCAATGAATTCATTAATCAATTAATTCTTTATATAATCAAAAATTTAGAATTGAGTCTTAGAACGTACCAATTGCGAATAGGGCGACGATTCCACGATCAGCGCGAAGGGAAGAGCATTCTGTCTCTCGGGGCCATTGGTTTTGCACATTTCTTAATAAAATTCAGTTTATAACTCATTCAAAATGGAAACAAGTTAATAATTCCTTCATAGGATAACAAGGGCTTGAACATATATCTAACTAGCTATCTTCAACCTAAAGAATGCTTAATTCTTCGCAAGGATTTATAATAAATATAATAATGTAGCCATCGATATAGGAATTACTTTATATACCAATTCAAAAGCAAAAATTCGAAATTCCTAATCACATTCACCGAAACAGTAGCTAGATATATATAAATTTCTGCAATAGCCTAAGTATTAGCAATAATAATTGCAGTCATAATCATGCTACACTCATTCTTAAACTATAACTAAAATTCCCTTGTTCATGCTAAACTTACTCCATTAACTTTAGCTGCTAATTTAAACTAAATTAGAGGAATTCAAATTTTTCCTTAAAAAAAATGTATTTATGACAGTAGGAGCTAAGGGTTCTAAGATTTATGCAATAGTTTTATTCCAAACGATTTTCCCAAAAACCTCCAATCTTTGATCAAGGATTTATAAATTAAAACTGATGAATGTTGGGGATTGACTTTTACTCAGCTTGGAAAATTTGTGCGGAAAAAACTTGGAAGAGTGAAGCAAGATCGACGCGAACATATTCTCGAAAGTGAAACGGAATAGGCGACTCGCTCGTATTCCATGCTTTTAACGCCAGGAATCGGAGAACGGAAGGAAGGAGAGGAGAAGCTCAACCGTCGATGAAGGGGAGGACTGGCAACGCTTCAAGGTCGGTGACCAAGCGCCGGGAAAATCAGTTGGAAGGGAGAAGAGAGAGGAGGGTCGCTCGCGCTTGCCAAGGGAAGGAGAAAGGTAAAGAGGAAAAAAAAGAAAAAGGAAAGGAAAGAAAGTATGTCGGTTTTCATAGATCATTCCGGTTCGATTCGAAACCGGGTTTGATTCTTGATTCATACAGATTGAGCTCAATTTGCTTGGTTTTGAGTTTTTCGCTTGGTTTTCGAAAAATCAAATTGGTATTAACACGGGTCCAGATTTAGCAATAAATAAGAATACTTATGCTGTATTAATAAAATACTAGCTGGTATAATCTCATTGGTTGAAATAAAAAATTTAGTTTTTAAATGAAAATTCTACGAAATTAAATTTTCGGGTCGTTTCAACAAATCAGCCCAGTTTTTGGGGACGGCTATGCCTTACTTTCTCAGTGAAATGAATTGAAATTTTTTTTTTTCCTTTATACGTTTGTTCTTTCTATGATACTAGTGATGTGAAATTATAAATACAATCGTCATAAAAAAATATCTATCTATTTCTTTATTTGATTCAAAAATTGTTAGTTGGACATTTTGTGTATAGTTATTATTAGCAATTTTTTGAATTAATTTTATTGTTATTCAAAAATTAAAAATGTTGATTATTTAGAAATTATAAAATAATTAATTAAAGTTTTTATTTAGATATTATGAATTTGTATTTTGAGTTTTATATATTTTGAGGTTTTATATAATACATTATTAAATTCATAAAAGAAGTTGAAAAAAAAACTAATTTATTTAGAAATTATAAAATAATTAATTAAAGTTTTTATTTAGATATTATGAATTTGTATTTTGAGTTTTATATAATACATTCATAAATTCATAAAAGGTTGAAAAAAAAACTAATAAGGATAAGAATAAATTTAAAAAAATATTAATAAGCAGAAGAAATTCTAGAAGTCATATCTTCTAAGTTGTTTTTAAAAAAATTTTATTTACGGTATGTGGGTCTCGTTTATGTATGGCACAACCCAAGAGGGGGTGAATTGAGTTTTTTAAAAATTTGACTTTCAAAAATAAAATCAGAATTTTGTTGCAGCGGAATTAGAAAGCATTTATAAGAGTTAGTTATAAAATTTAGAACTTCCTGACAAAGCTCATTGCAAGTTTAGAAAGACTCTATAAAGAACAGTTATTGTACTTAAAACTGCTTCACAAAGTTTAAGCAAATTTAGAAAAACTCTGTAAAGAATAGTTATTGCATTTAGAATTGTTTCACAAAGCTTATTGCTAGTTTAGAAAGATTCTATGAAAAACAATTATTGCATTTTAGCACTGCTTTACAAAACTTTAAGCAATATTAGAAAATTGATTATCACTTGTATTGTGATTTGTACTGAATGTCATAGGGCAGATTAGAACTCAGCATAATCACAATACAGAAATCAGAGTTCTAATGTTCCACCGAGATAAAGCTTATGCACTTTTAGAAACAAAAACTCATTAACAACTTTGCATTTCTAAAAGAATTAACAGTTGTATAGACAGAATATAATCAAGCAGAACTTTAGAAAATAAAAGAAGATAAACATATAGATTTATAGTAGTTCGGCACTAGCTCACCTACATCCACTGCCTAAGACTCGTCTTGAAATCTTCTACTATGTTATCTCTTTTTAAGGCTAAGAGACAAACCAACTTTACAAGGAAATAGATCAACACCTAGATCTAACATTTATCCCACTAGATTTTTCAAAGGTTCTAATTAACTTCAACCCTTTCTGTTTTTGCAGAGAACATAAACTCACATCAAGACATTAGAATCTCACATAAGGAGAATGTCAATTGATAACCAATTACACCAAGCTTTTCACCTAAGCTATTACACAAAAATTTTTCATTTAAAAGACTTCTAGTCTACAACAGACTACGAAATCTATATAGACAAAGAGAAACGCAATTATAAGCATAGAAAGAACAAAAAACAGATTTTGAAAACAGAAATAAAGTTCAGAACTATTCTTCAAAAAATGTTGTTATTAAATTTTTTTTTTCTCTTTGAAAATATCTCTTGAAGCAAATAGATGAAAAGAAATAAGGGAGTTTGAAGAGAGCTTTGAGAGATCTGCACTTTTTAATCAATGGGCTCTTATTCTTGCAAAAACCTCATGTTTTCAAAAGAAGAAAAAACGTCTTTTATAAGAGGGGTGAGGATCACGTTTTTAGTAAACGTTGATCTTTAGCTTTAAAGAGCATTTAAACTTTTAAAAAATAAAAAGATATAAGAATTTTTTGTAAATACTCAATTATTTGTTGCCAAAGATATAAGAATTTTTGTAAATTACTCAATTAATTTCGTTGCCAAAAAATATTAACAGTCAAAAATATTTATTAATTTAGGTAGTAGAATTTAAAAAAAATTAAGATTTGGACAAAAATAAGATTTGACTTTTCTTTTTAAGGCATTTTTCGAAAACAAAAGATATGTGAATCTCTTATAAATACTTGATTATTTATTGCCAAAAATAATTAAACCAAATTCTTTTTCATTTAGGTAAGTGAAATTAAAAGAGCAAGATTTGACTCTTCTTTTTAAGGCAATTTTCGAAAATGATTTTAAGAGAGAGAGAATATTTTTGTGCTTATAAAAAAATATTCTCTCTATCCTACAATATACCGTAAGATACTAACCATTGAAAAATCTTCAATAATCTTCATGATCTTCAAAGAATCTTGGATTTGTAATGAGGTCTTCAAAATTCTGAAATTTATTTTTCAATTTTTAAATAATATATAAATATGATTTTCTTTTATGTAAAAGTTCCCATTTTTTAATGAAAAATTTTAACTAGATGGGTCCATGGCTCACTCATTGATCAAACTAATGAGAATAAGGTTTTTTTTATTGAAACGAGAGTATTTTTGACCATACACTGAGAAAAAAAAGGATAAAGTTGGAACAATTTTAAAGAATCCTAACTGTTATTGGTTTGATTCATAAAGCGTGGCTATACACCGGGTCTAGGTAAGTAATTGCTATTTTTGAATATATTTAAATTATATTTGGAATCAATACATATCAATAAAAGATTTTTTTTATTTTTCCTTTATTTTTTATGTTTTAATAATATTTAATAATAAAATTATAGTTTACTGTTAAGTAATTAAATTAAAAATAGTATTTATCTATGTATTATCCTTATTGAATTATTTGAATCGTAAAACTTTATCTATATAGAATTATCTGTGATAGTATACAATATTTAAATCATTTGAATTATAAACTTTAACCGACACCTAGACATAATTAATTGAATTTTAATTTTAAAATAAATTAATTACATTACAATTTCTATAACATGATAATCTAATAAGCAGATCTTTTAATAATATATTAAACATAATTTATAAAATATAAATCCGCGCAAAGCGTGGGCCTTTACCTAGTTTATTAAAATTTCTCTAACACGATAATTTAATAAAGTAAACCACAGGAAAAATAAATCTTTTATATACTAATATATCAAATACAATTTATAAAATAAAATATTTAACAATAAAGTAATTTGCTAGAAAAATAAATTTTTAATACGTATTTATAAATTATAAACTATCTAAGCAATCCGCACAAAACGCTGAGTCTTTTACATAGTATAATAAAAACGAGATAGAGTTAGCAAGATAAACCCAATTTAAAATAAATTTTGAAAAAAAAAAGATATATCCTAAAAAAAGAATATAAAGTGAAAATTAGATTTTCTAAATCACAATTTATAGTTTCATACAATTTTTTTTAAACCTTTCTTTAAAAAGTTAGAAAAAAAATTAATTATTTTAAACAATCATGTTGTATTTATTTTTAAAGATAGAAAAACAAAAAATCAAAAACTAAAGCCAAAAGTAACCTATTGGGTTTTTATTTTTGTTTTCCCGGAAAATAAGAGAGCAGAAAGAGAACAGAGGAGTAAGAACGAGGGTTTTAGGGTGGTTTTTGTTAGCGAGAGCTTCTCCTTGATTGAGCAGAGGGCAGAGCTGTTTATGTGTTTCACTCACAGATTTCGTCTCTCATATTAGAGGTGAGATTTCTTCTCTCTCTGAGTCTATTTTCTTCTTTCTTTCATAAGGAAGCCATTGTAGGTTTTAAGGTTCGCTGGTTTCACTTGAATCTCTGGTGCTGAATACAATGGTTTAGATTCATGAGAAATCAATTTCGCTTTCGTGGTTTAAATTCGTTAAATGGTGTTTGAGCTGCGCTATTGCTTTTAAGCTTTTAATATTGGTTGGATAGGTTGACTGTGCTTTCTTTGGTGAATTTAAATAGCAAGACTAGGATTGTGCAAATTGCTAGTTAATGCCCTGATTTAGATGATTGAATATCCAGAATTTTAAACTTGGAGAAGCGAACTAGAAGTTACATGTCTGTTGTGGATTCATGGAATCCAAATTGCGTTTTGATTTTTCTTTAATTCTGAAAGTTCTGATAATATGTAAGGAGAGCTTGATTTTTATCCCTCATGATACTGAAATGGCAAATCTTGGTGTTTTAGAATGCACTTCAAATAAGTGAGCATTTAGTTGAGTTTTTTTGTTTACTGTTCCTCCCAATTTAGTAATTGATGTTTACAGTACAAGAAAAATAAAGAGTTTTGATTTGTAAAAAGAGAATCTCCAACTTACTGACTGAAAAACTAAGGGAAAGAATGGGGACATGGCTTGAATATTAGGTTTTTGGGTAAAAGTGGCTCCCTGTCTCTTCTCTCACTCAATTTTTCAAACAACTTCAGAATTGTAGATTATTTCTTGATGCTCTAGCGATGCAGCCTCATTATAATTCCCATCCTCAACGTTCCAATCAAATCCAATCCAATGGTACTACTGCTCCAGTTCAGGCACAGGTGCATCTCTCTTTTTCGGAACATTATATCTTATCTAATTATCTGGCTGTTCTGATGTTCATTTTTTATTCATTTAATTTTTGCTCAATTGATAGGTTTTCTCTACAAATCCTTCTCTAGCAAATTTCTACAACATGTTACAAAATTCTATGCCGATGCAACCTCAACTGGGCATCATCAATCCTCAACTTCCAGTTCCTTTCAACAATTCCAATGTCATTATGCCCAATATGCCCCCTTTGATGACTCAACAACCTGGTTTCAGTAATCATATGGGTATAAACCAAATGGGTTTTGCTCCACAAAATCATTTAAACAATATAAACACTATCCCCATGTTTGTGAATCAAGCAAACCCGGGTCAACCTCAAGGCCAACCATATGCTCTTAATTTCTCCAATTTGCCTCAAAATCATAACCAAAATATGGGTTTCCCCAATCTACAAAATCTAATGCAAAATCTGAGTGCTGTCATGCCTATCCCAATGCCAAATCCTTCTGTAACCAATGGTCCACAAAATCCCAACTTTTTCGCAAATCCTTTGTTCATGGTTGGGCAGCATGGCAATGCAAATCAGCCGAACTTTGTGGAGGATAAAAGAACTGAACAAGTACAAGGGAACTCATCCATAATGCCACAAACTCAGAACTCAAGATCCTTGGGCTCATTTAGGCGGCAGGTAACTACATTTGATGCTTAATGAAGCACTGTTTTTTTTTTTTTTTTTTTTTTTTTGTGTCCATGATCCATATGACTGCTATAAATGAAAAAAGTGGTTTTGATGCTATATTACTTCATGTTTATGCAATAATATTAGTTTGTTTTATATCATACGGGCATGATATGGTATGCTGCCACTATACCACTCTTTGCAGTTTGTGGTATATCCTCTAGCTGCTAGATCTATGTACTAGTGGTATTAAATTGATATTCCCATTTTTGTATTGTTGAATAAGAAATGAAGTTCCTCATATTTTATACTAAATTGACCTTCACAAGTCCTCAATATGTGGCTAACTTAAGATAGGATGGTAGGGTTCTTGATGATATTTCAAATTTTGTTTCAATTCAATAATACTATTGGTGGAGCTAACAACAATGCATTTTTGTTAATATCATAACATCGTTCATTTTAAATTTCACTATCACAACTGTGTCAGGTGAGTCTAGTATATGAGGATACAACTAAATTTGCGTTTAAATCTTTAGATCTTGTGAGGTAATTATTTTGCCATTTTGGCATGTTGACATCTATGTTGGAAATTTTCTGAAGTTCTGTCCACACCTTGTGTTTGCTCAGTAGTTATGATTTAATTCTTTATTGTAGATGTATTTCTAATTCCCTGCTGCAACTAATGGTGAATCTAAGTTCTGCATTTGTTACAGGGTAATCCTGTTAATAATGGCCAAAATAGTACTTCAGGTCCCAATTGGAAAAACTTTGCCAGCAAAAACTTCAAAAAGAATCCAAATAAAGAGGCATCAAACTTGGGGTGCATACTTTATCCTGCTTTTTTAGATTCTTTTCTACTTATAGATTTGGATCTGCGGCTTATAATCATCCTAAATCCAATATTTGCAGATATCAGAAATCTCAATTCCATCATATGAATAATGGGAAGAGGAAGTTTGGGTCTTCTAATGAACACAGGGGAAAAGGTTCCGTAATCTCACTCAGTTAAAAATTTGTTTTCATGTTTGCAGAGAAGACAATAGTCTAAGGGAGAACATGAAGTCTCAACTTGTTTGTGTTTTTAAAAATCCTTTTGTGTAATTGTATTCCATATAAACAAGGAAAGAAAAAGTGAGGGATGCGTGTAAGATGTGAAACCATAGATGAGATTAATCATGGTCATGGTTCTATGTTTTTTCCACATTTGGTGCTACCCACTGCATGGAGATTTGTAATGAAACCTAACCTGGTTAATGTACCTGAGCTGGGTGTTGAATCAGTCTATTTCATCCATATGACTGGGTCTGTATCCATTATTGCTGTTGTTAGGGTCTGCATGGTAAAATGGAGCCCTATTAAAACATTAAAGAAGCCTGTTGGATCTCACTCATTATACTAGAGAATCACTTTTTACGAGGCTAATTGGCTACTGAGTATTATTTTGATACTGCATATTCGTCTCTCTTTACATCAGAAGAATAATGGGATTTGAAGAAATTCAAGGAAAAATCATTAGCTTGTGCATTTTTAACGTGAAAACTTGTAAACCTGTAATAACTGTCTGATGATATTTAATTAAATTGCTTATCTATACTTTGATGTCTGTTTTGCTGTGTTTTGATATTTATGTTTTTCCTTCAAAAAATGAATAGGGTATGGCAATGAGAGGGCAAGTAAATATGCTCGCACTAATTCTGCAGAACAAGCTACGGAAAAGAAAAGGTAAATTCTGCTTAATCCCCATCTTAAAATATTTTTCCTTGTTAGAGAAAAAGTTGTGTTAATTTAATCTCTTATTGTCACTTAAAACTTTTAAAAAGCAAGATGCTAGGAATGCTTGGGGATGGAGAGAGACACAGAAAGAGGCAGTTGAACTTTTATATTGACAATATTTGCTTGTCTTTTTTAGTAGGCACCATTTGGCTTTAACCTGATGAAGGATAACTTGAAACTGTAAAATGTTCTTATTCGTTTTAGCTTGTTAAATCAATTCTCTAAGAAGTAATGACAGTAACTTTTCAATTGGAATAAGAGTTTTTTGGATGCAAATGTTTTCTCTTCTCTCAACAATAATGCAAAGTCATCTTTTGGGGATGCATGAATGCTGCTTCATAACCTTGTTTATAACAGTTCAAAATTTAATGCTTATGTAGATGTGCAACCTTATAGGTATTGTTTTGCTTGAATGCCCAGTTTTTGGACTGTGGAATTAATTGAATAGTGGTACTTCAACAGTCTTTTTGCTCGTGGTCCATAAGGTCACCTATATGAAATCCTCAACATGTTTTTCTTCACCAAAGAAACATAAGTTCTTAACCTTATAATGAAAGGAAAAAAAAAATGTCAAAAAGATTAAAATTGCAAAATTGTTATGCCAGTTGCTCAGAAAAAGGAATAGAAGACAATATATATGTCATGTTTTCTGATTCATCTTCTAAACGGAATATTAGTTCTGATCATAATTGTGATTTATATAGTGTTTGAAATAAATCCATGTGAAATTTATTTCATTTGCAAATGAATTTCATTAAAAAAAATTCATTTGTAAATAAATTGATAAAATTCGTCTGTAAATAAATTTTCATATTTGGATCAACCATGGAATTCATTCTGAATATGTAGCTTTACTAGTTTGTACTTAAAATTCATTAGTTTTAGTAGTTTATACTTCTTTTGAGTCTAGAATTCATTTGTGAATCTACCAATTTTGGTATAATTTAGTCCAAGCATATCAATTCCTTAAAATTAAAATGTGTGATTCCATTTAGCACAAAATTTTGTAGAATCCATTTACACTAAACAAGCTCTTAGCATTGTTCCTTTGTTGCTTATATAATATCTAATTTCTGCAACTAATTCTCCATGAAGTCTTGCGTTTTTATTTAACAGTAAGTCTTGCATTTTTTATTTCTTTTCAAATTTGAAATTTTTCCTTAAACATTGTTAAGGCCTCTTGCTTTGACCTATACGGAACAAGAAATCAAACAATGGCGTGAAGATCGAAGGAAGAACTACCCGTCAAAAGCCAAGATTGATAAGGTTTGATTTCCTGCTATACTTATCTCCCATATAATTGTATTTGAATGGTCATCCTGATGGTTAACTTGAACTCCACAGAAAAGTAGTGAAAGACAAGCAAACTCTGAGGTCAGTAGAAAAGAAGCCAAACAACGCCGAGAGGTATTTATGTATATATGCAATGACTTCAAATGTTTCCTTTTCATCAGAAATTTATTTGGAATTTTTATTTATTTTTATTTTTATTTTTTGTATCTTCAAAATATCACAGCTGTTGGTAAGGGCATGAAATGGACAATCATATTACTATCACTGCATGATGTGGGTGAATAGTTCCATCCTGTAATATAACCTATTTTTAACATTTTATTAGCAGAAAGTTTTTCTTAGCCACATCTTTATTTTCTTTTGCTGAAGGCTAGTCCTAGATACTTTGTTTTTCTCCTTTAACACTTTTGGTAATTAATAATTTTTATTGGATATGTCTCTTGAATATAAAGCTTTATGTAAAAGCATGTCAACTCAGCGTTCTTATTGACTTCAATCTTCCATTTGGTACCAAAATTAGATTTTGGCATCTTGGATATTTGAGCAAATTTGATTTCATAGAAACATTTGATTTATGGTGATAATCTTGGTATTTGAAGTCGTTCTTGTTTAAATACCATTTAACTTTATGGGAATGATGGCCATCTCCAACACGCATAATTTTAATGGTCAAATTGGCATTTGAAATTGACCAATATATGCTCAATGGTTATATTCTGCGCAGAGGTATAATATGTCTGTATGTTTGGATTGAAATTGTCAAATTAGTGTCATTAAAGACTAATTTTCATACACCATAATGTAATGCATTTTTAGTTTGACATAATCAAACATTTGTGAACCTTCCATGCAGCAACTAAAGGAGATTTTAGCAAAGCAGGCTGAGTTGGGAGTTGAAGTTGCAGAAATACCACCATACTACCTGTCAGATTCAGAGAAACAAGTAAATGAAAGGGAAAATAATCATAGGTTTGTTGGCAAGAAGGGTAGATTTCAGAACAAGCATGATAGAAGAGGGAGATATAACAAAAATGATCGGTCTGCCAAGCAGCAAAAGTTAATGAACAATGACTCATCACAAATTTCTTCCTTCAACACAAAGAAGCCAACACTTTTGCAGAAGCTTCTAAGTGCGGATGTAAGGAGAGATAAGCACCGCTTGTTGCAGGCTTTTAGGTTCATGGTGATGAATTATTTCTTTGATGACCTACCAGAGAAACCATTGGAATTTCCTTTGATAGCAGTCAAAGAAGATGAGAGGGAGGACTTAGCGGTAGCAGAAACATCCTCACTTGCTCAGAAGGATATTTTGGAAGTAACAAGTTTTGGTCGTGCTGGAGGTGGAGATGAAGACGATGATAGTCATGATTATGAAAGAGTGGAACAAATCAACAGAACTGAAGAAGAGGAGGGAGAAATCATTGACTAATGAATGCTTCCTTCCATCACTTGCTTTCTTGTATTATATTAGAAACTGTTTATTTATTTACTCCTTTCTTTTCTGCTTAACAACATGAATTGGGTCAGAACCAATGAAGAGTTTAATGATGAAATTTTGTAGCGACGAGCAGACCGGTTCACGGGCTGAGCTGGGACTGAGTTTGGGTTGGAGTCCAAGGAATGCTTGGTACAAGTTTTCATATATGAGTATCTGCAACAATTTTTTTGGTAATTTGAGTCATAATTTGGGCTTATCTAGAGTTGCTTAGTAGTAGGGTTGCACATGATCTGTTATAACTCAACCTAACTTGAGCAATCCAAGCCAACTCAATCTAATCCAGCAGATTTGAAAATATAATGAGTTGGATTAGGAGGATCATCTTTATAATTTACGGGTTGAATTGGATCGGATCATGAGTTCATTAGATAAATCCACAGATTTGATCTAATCTGTAAATAAATTATGAATTATTTAGTTAATTTGATTTAATTTGCAATTTTGAATTTAAAAATAAATTAATTACATATTTTGTAGATATTACCTTTGTTATTGGAGTATATTGTAGCTTAAAACATATTATATAATTACGTTACTAAATATTTTTAATTTTATTACTTGTCTTTTGTATAAGAAATTTAATTTTCCATTGATGACGATGACAATGATGTTAAGAAATTTAATTTTAATATTGTTATTGGAATATATTTGTAGTTTATGAAAATTATTGTATAATTAAGTTTAAAGTATATTTTATTTTTTTAATAATCCTCTTAAACAGTTGCATTTTATTTTATATATTTTTATTATTTTCGTTTATTTGACCTGTGGGTTTACGTTGAATCCATATTCAATCCAACCCGTTTATACCAGCAGATTTACGCATTTAATGGATTCGATCGGGTCTAAAAAATTATCGACCTGTACATACGGGTCAGGTACTTAAATCAGTAAACCCAATCGAACACAAGCCTGTGCAGCCCTACTTAGCGGTGAACATTCGATTCAATTTTTGGTTAAACATTCAGTTCAGTTTTTGGTTAAATAGGTTTCTCTGGTTATTTTGGTTAATTTTTATTTGTCTTTTCAATATAATCGGTTTAGTTCGTTTAGTTTAATTGGTTCAGTTCAAGTAATCCAAATAAATCTAAAGAGAAAATGCTGTAGTTTCAAAATTAAGGCCTTGAAAAAGATTTGCAATTTGTTTTACCTTAATAAATAATTATCTTATATGTGAGAAATTAGAGTACAGTTTCTAATTTATTACGATAGAGATTAGATAATTATTGTTTTCGTTTGATTATATAACAGAAAAAATATATAAGGGAAACATATATTACGATCCGTGTGTTTTGCAGAAATGCAACTAGTCTATTTGTTATTTTAAATGCTTATTAGATTTTAGAAGCAAATCTAAGCAAAGTCAAAGTAACGAGAGTTCAACTTGATTTACATAAGTAAAAAGTTCTATTAACACATTTTGTGTATAGTTTTAATTGTAAGTTAAATCCAACTTTTTTATTCTAGTATTTGAAATTCAATTTTAAATTATACATAATTTAATAAATAAAATATTTTTTACTGTTGGTGGTAAATAAAATTTTTCTTCATTTAACATAATTAAACTTCTTAATTCTCATGGTAATGATGAAAATAATTTTTTTTTTTTTTAAATTGGTATGAGTAATTGTTTAATATATACTATTTTTTAATTCAAAAATTACTACCAGGCGGTAATAAGAATCAACCTTCTTCTGTATACATCCCATTGCCGCTTATTTCCATTCACTCCTCTTAGGCACATAACGATTACTATTGCTTCTCTTCCTCAGAAATTCTCTCACCCTAAATCAACTCATTTGTTTACTAATTAAACTTTCTCTCACAGGAGCTGATGATCAGCCAGTGATGGTTGAACGCAGAAGCAAAGAATTGAAGAACCTATTATCTATGTACAAACGACATAGAAAACGTGAAGAAGATAAGGCCTCTTATTGTAGCAAGTTGGAGTCTACGAAAAGAAAATTGCATTCGTATTATCAAGAAGCTGATAAAGGTAAGATATATTTTTCTCTATTTGCTTCTTTAATATTTCTTTTACAGTGCATATTTTTCTCTTTATATGGATTTTGATGAGTAATTTGGTATATAGTTAAAAGGCAGAAGCAGATTCAGATTATCGATGTAATGGATTTGCCGAAAGCGACCACTAAGACAAAGGTTGAAGATGCCAAGAGACTCCGTCGTCGTCATCATCATCGTAAGGTGGCTGCCATTGCTCAACACTATCAGAAGCAAATGACATTTTACACTTGTATTCCAGGAAAGTTCTGTTTCTTTTTTTCTTAATTGTCTATGAAAATCCATTTTTCTATACTGACACACTGATATATAAGCACGGATGGTTGAGGATTTATAGATTGAAAACAATTTTGGTGTATGGCCAGGCTAACAACAATATAGATTAGCACCGACTGCATTTTATGAATTGTTATACAGTTATAGTCATCCTCCATCATACTTGATATGACCAGTTTGGCTCTAGTGAAGCCTTTCTTAAGGAGAAATTTTTGAAAGATAGACGGAAAGAAACTATCAGATCTTGCATTGTCAAAACTTGCTGTAATCAGTTGTTATTTGGATCTTTTTTTTCTTTCTTTAACATGGTAAAGCACATAAAGGCTCTTTTATTGTATACATATTTAAATTCATTTTATAATTATTAATTTTACTCCAATATCTCAACAAATTTTATTAATTAATTAGTAAACTATATATATTCATAAATTAATAGCATTATCATGTGATTATGTGTATTTATATAGTGGATATGAACATACCAAAAAAAAATTATAATACAAAATTTGTGAGTTCTATCATCCACAAATAGCTTGGATGTAAGTTTTGCATGATATCAAAAAGTCATACAAATATTGCTAGAAAAAATCTAAAGTATAATTATTAATTTTATCCAATATCTCACCATATTTTATTAATTAATTACTAAACTATATTTATTCATAAATTAATAATATTATAATGTGATTTATGGAACAGTTATCTTCATGTTTGTGAATATCCTGATTGTGCAGGTATATTGTTGACTTTAATCACATTTTATATATTCCCTAAAAGGTGCTTCTAACTCAACCCATCCATTACTTGTTTACAGGGAAAATTACATTTTAAAGAATTATGTTTGCTCATTATTTTATTTACGAACTTATGTCTCTCCGCAATTCCATTTATATTTTTCTTTTCAAACTTTCTCATTTCTAGTTAATTCAATCATTGATGATCTACTATTACAGTTATAATAGAAGATTTTATTAGTAGTCATTTTCTAGCTAATAAGGCCATTAAATATAATAAAACAAAATAATTTAAAAACTATATACATTTAACTTTATTTGTATTTTGTGAATTTTAAAACATCATTGTTTTATTAATGTTATCTTTAAATTAAATGATTTAAATTTGATATTTACTTGTTGTAATTCTGAATACCATCTGAAAAATAAACAATGATAGCATTAAACATAACCAATAATCCAGTAATTAGATTACTAGCAGTTAATATTTTTTCTTATATTTAATTAATATTTTCATTTTTTACTTAATAGAAAAAATTTATTTATAAAAGATTTACTTAACACATATAGTAAAATAATAGAGAAAAATATATATGTTTAATTAATTGATTCATTTTATATATATTATAAGATAAGATATTAAATTTATTAATCCCTTATTATTAACTTAACCACATATAGTAAAATAATAGTAGGAAAATATATATGTTTAATTAATTATATGTTTAATTAATTGATTCATTTTATATATATTATAAGATAAGATATTAAATTTATTAATCCCTTATTGGAGGCTCTTTTTTATTAATATTATAAATTTAATGTCATTGTAACTAAAAATTTTTAATTTTAATCCAACTCTAATTATGATATCAATTTATTATTTGTATTATATTAATATTATAAATTTAATCACACTAATTAGGAATTTATCCTTTAATACTATTCTAATTAGGAATTTGTCATATATATCATACCACTATACGTACATTTGGTTTGAATTGCTTTTAATTTTGACTATCAAGAATTTGTTACTTTTGACTATCACGAATTTGTTGGTTTTGACTATCAAGAATTATTATATCAAACTTTGCTAATTTGGAATTATAAAATTTGCAATCATGTTTTCTTCTTGCGGTAAGTATAATCTTGATTTTCTCTATTTATAAATTAATAGAATAACTTTTATTTATATTTATTAAGTATGTTCTAGCAAGTATAGGAAGTTTAATCAAATTCTAAATAGGAAATTATTTTAATTTTATTGGTTTAAAAATAAAGCTAATTTAATTATTAATGATTTTAATTTTCTATTTAAATATAAATTTTATTGAATAAAATAATAAATTATATATATGCATGTTTGATTATCACACGATCTTAATTGAAGCATCGTTATATAAATTACTACTCTAAATAAAGCATTATTTTCTATTAAAATATAGTAAAAATCCAGTTTCTAACTCTGATACCAATTTTAACTACTAAACCTGTACTATTTACATATATTATCCCCGATCTATAATGGCAATACCTCATATTAGTTGTGAGGTAATACTTTAAGAAATTTTTAATTTTATGGATTTTGAAAAAATTAAAGATAATTTACTTTTTGAATTAAATAAATTTCCATTAGTTTAAAAAAAAATAGTAGAATAAAAATTCAGTTGGACTTTTGTGAATATAGTTTGTATTAGTTAATTGAACATTTGTATTCTCTTATGCAAAATGTCAAATTAAATATGTATTTAAAGTATTACAAATGAATTAAACTAATTCAATATATAATATTCTTTGTATTAGTTAATTGAAATTTGTATTCTCTTATGCAAAATGTCAATATTAAATAGTATTTAAAGTATACAAAATGTAATAAACTAATCAAATATATAATATTCCTAATAAAAATAAATTAATTAAATAAACTATACATAAATATGTGTGTTTTTTATTAATATTAAATCAAACATATGTTAGAAATCGTAACCGAAAATTCTATCTGATCTTAGTTAAGAATGAAAATCCTATTATAGAAGTTTTGACCGAATCCAATGTTAAATCAATTTATATTTATAATTTTATTGCAAAAGGACTTAACTATTTTATATTAAAAATCTAAAAATAATTAAATTTATAAATTATAAATTAAAATTCTTTTCTTTTC